CTATACTTTGTAGCTGTTCTATAAATTTGTGTAGCTATATCAAATCATCTCCCTATAGAAGAGATACCATCATGGTAGCCCAGATACCCTAGAAGTGGGCAACTGTCTGCAAACCCAGTACGCATCCTTGTTAATATTTTTGGCATATTGCTGGGGCCAGTCAAGGAAAACATTAGTTCTCCCATCAGAGAATAGTATAAGGATTAAGAAAAGAATGAACTGTCTGACTTTGATTTCAGCAGACATAGTGTGGCTGTGAGAGGATATATATAAGCAGAATAAATTTATCTTGATTCAGTCTTTTTCTTTTTGAATCGCATCTTCTAAAGGCTCACCAGAGTATTGTCACAATTCTCTTCCTCCTTGACGTCTCAATTCTGTGAAGTCTCAAAAGGAACAGGTTTAATTCTTGATGAGTGAATCTAAGATGGATACTCTGTGGGTGTGCTTAGAAGAGCCTGATAGGGACCCTTCCATTTAGGGAGGAACTGATTCAAAGGTGACTCCTTCTTCCAAACTTTGAATAACACATAATCACCAGGTGGAATGTTAGGGATTTGAATGGCAGAATCTGGAGTCAGAAGGACTTTATTACCACATTCTAGTAAGGCCTTCTGCTCCTGACCTACATTGATGATGTATTTAATCTTTTTCTGTGTTTGAGGCACAGCGACTAGATCTGAAGTTAGAAACTGCCTCCCACAGAGCATTTCATAAAAATTTTAGGGGAAATTCTAATCCTTAGTAAAGCAACAGATTATAGTTTCAGCCAAGACTCTGAGGTTTCTTGGCATAATTCTTGGAATAATTAAAACCAAGGTGGTTGTAATATATAAATTGACACTTTTGTTATTTTCTAATGCCTCCGGATATCAAGAAGTAAGATGTTAGTAAGTTATTCTTACAGCTTATGAAATTTTTGTGTCACTCTGGACACAGAAGTTCCAATATCACTTTGAAGTGACTTGGGAAATCCAATCTAGGAATAATGTCTTTAACCAAGCTTTGCTGACTTCTTTGGCCTTTTTAGTCAGGGAAGGATCTGCTTTTATCCATTTGGAGAAGGTATCAGAAAAATAAGACTGATTTGTATCCCTAGAATGCTGGCATCTGGGTGCAATCTAGTTTCCAGTCCCCTCCAAGGAAGATTCCTCACTTTTGTACTGTGTTAAGCAAAAATGGAGGCTTAGCTTTCCCTCTTGGATGGTTGTGAAGGCAAAGGGGCCAAGCCCTTGTGACTTCTTGAATAGTGGATGCAAGTTTATTCTAGTTTGCAGCCCAATTTGGGAGTTATCCAACTATAATAATATACAAATGCTCATCTTTGATATTATACAGATTCTCAACTTTCTAGCTAAGAAGGGATATAAAAGCTTAGATAGCTCTCCAAAAAGTTAAATATTTGGTTTATATTCTTACACCTAGGGAATGACAGCTGTCTGAGGACCAGATTCAAGCTGTCATCTTGGGCCTCCTGCCACCAAACAACAGCTTCATTCCTTCCTGGGAATAGCCAGCTTCTGCCAGATCTGGATGTCTAACTTTGGTCTAATGGCAAAGCCTTTATATGAGGCTGTCAGTGGTCCTATATCTGTGCCCCTAAAAAAGACCAAAGTGACTGGCAATGCCTTTAAGAGAAATAAAGCATGCCCTTACTCAGGCTTCAGCACTGGGAATACCTGTCTTTAAAAAAATCTTTCTCTACATATCAGAAAAAAGGGGAATTGCTTGACCCAACAGCTAGGCCAAGAACTCCACAGAGTGGCATACTTTTCTGAAACATTACATGAGGTGGCTGCTAGATGGCGCCTCTGCCTGAGAGCAGTAGTGGCTACAGCTATGCTAACAGAGGAAGCTGCAAAATTAACTTTAAGGCACAAACTGGAAGTCCTGTCTCCCCATCAGGTCAGGACTATTCTGGAGACAAAACGTTACTTGTGATGAACAGGGGAACAGCTAATTATCAAGCCATGCTCATAGACACCCCTGAGGTTATTACAAAAACTTCCTATAGAAGTCCTATATGGGAAATAGTCATTAGAACTTCAGATTTCATAGGATTAAGAAAGCTACTCCTGAGAACTTCTGGAAGACCTAAGGCTCCTCTTCAAAAAGTAAGATTCCAGTGTGCAGATACGTATGTGACTAATGACCCTAATTCACCACAGCTTAAATGGGCACCTGTATTGAAGTTCCTGCTTTTAATTAGATATATGATATGGGTAATCTTGCTAAGGCTGTGGCTCTCAGGCTCTCAATAATTTATCTAACTTCCTTCTTTGTCACACTTTGTTCTCTACAAGAAGCGTGGAAATCAAACATTCTCCTCATATTTACGTTCTACATCCCCCAAATCGTACTTTCTTTATCCCATCAAACAGACAGCTCAACAGTCACTAATTCTTTTCTCATTGTCCTCTGTTTTTCTCTTCAACCCAGTCAGTGAGCTCTTAACATCTCTTTCCATTTTTGGTTTGAGAGAGCAAGTGTCTCTTGTCTTCAGTGCTTTTATGCGCAAACATTCCTTTTCTAGAGGTTTGGGAGCTTTTAACTCTGGAAAGGAAAAAAACCCTAATCTGCACAAGTTTGTAGAGAAGGAGAGAGAAAAAGACAAACAATGTTCAGAGGTAAAGGCTTGAGAGAAAACTGCACTTCAGAGGAACGGGGGTGAGTCTGAGTGTCTCTAAGGCTGAAATAAAGAACTTAGTTCCTTTTTGTAGCAGGTTCACTGACTCCCATTACAGAAAAAGAATTTTCAGAATGTATCAGTAAGAGAAGGGTTTATTAGACAGATTTTAGGACACTCTCAAGAATGGAGCGCAGGTGCTCAGAGAAAGAAAGCACACTACAGTTTGGAATTGGGAACATTTATACTTCTCTTGAAGGGGTAGAAAAGGCAGCCCACCTCCCATCAGAAGGATGTAGCCCATTTTATAGGTGTGGGCTTTCTCTAGTAGGTAATTTGATTCTTTGGGTTTGCTCAACCTGATTCCTTTACCTGGGATCAGGCTCCCATTCTTTACTTTTTCAGTTAAGGCAATCTATGGACTTTCAATATTCCGACGGAATTTTGAGTATGATGGGTTTGATAGGGAAGGACTTAAATGTAACCAAAGAAATGCTGATATTAATCATCTTGCATAGTTTTGGTTGGTTCCTGAAAGCTGCAGTCTCATTAAAAATACAATTGTATGGTTATGATTTTCTTGTCTCCTCTGTACCTATCTTGTGTTTCTTCTGCCTCAAGATAATTCATGTTAAAGGACTATTAACACATCTGAGAGTGGTAAGAGCTTGGCAAATGTTAATTCCTGCCCCACTCTCCTGTGAACCTGAGGCCCAGACCCTGGAAAACAGTAACTTTCTCCTGCATTTCTGGCTCTGTCTCCCACTTGTCTGCCTAGAAGACCTCTGAAGAGCTCTGAAAGGTTCACAAGAACTGAGCTCTAGCAGATAAAACTTAAGGCTGATCACAGGGAAGATGAATTGTCTCTCCTAATGAAAAAACAAAATCTACATAAGTGAAACAAGTAAGAATGATGGAAGGAATGTGAGCATTTTATTTTGCATACCTGGTCTCACAATGGTAACATCCCCATCTTACTAACTAGAACACTGATCTGAATAATAAATTTCCCCGTGCAACCAGCAAGTGACAGAGCCTGGCTAGGTACCTGGGAAACCTGACTTCAGAGCCTACTTCTTGACCACTGCATTCTACTGAACCCTTACTTTCCTCCCTCGATGGTGAACACCCCTAGAGAAGGGCAGGACAGGCTTATATCCTTCAACTGCATTCTAACTTACCAGAGATACCCTTTCTTGCCTGACATCTTGCTAGTGTTGTGGCCTAAATAATCTTTATGCAGACAAGAAGCATCTTTGGCATTTCCTATTACCTTGATACAGTCGATCTCGGAAGCCACAGAAGCTGCACCCAGGGTGCCCTTATACTTCTCATATATGTGATCAAGGAGATTGGTTACTAGAGCTGGGGACTCCCTTCACCTCCCCATAATGAATGTGCAATGCTCTGTCCACAATGAACATCACAGGTGCACTGGTAAGAACTCCCTCCCACTCTTGGCTGGAAAAATATGGTGGTGGGTCATCAGGGGCTTCACCCAGACTCCACATTGCCCAGGCCATCCTGCAAAGACTCGAAGGGAGCAGTATCACTCCCAGCCCTGCTCCAGGGAAAAGCCGGGAGACCGAAAGCCAAGGGGCCACATATAAAGAAGAAACACATTTCAGGTTTTCTTACATGACTTTAATTGGAGATCCAACTCCTCTAAGCCATGGTACAAGTCTGGCTTGGTGGAACAGCATCTGGTGTCCAGTGGGACTCAGAGGAAAAATGGATCATTGATGTTAGGATAGGGAGCCCCACAGTAAATCCTAGCGTGATTCAAATTCTGGCAGCTAGATAAGGCTTAATATACTTTTCACTGACACCAAGCTATAGGTTCCTTTCTGATGCTAAACCCTTCTTCCCATGAGAGGAATTCTCTCAAAAACTATCTGGGATCAAAACACAAGTCTTTATCTATATTACAGTTGGAAGCTAAACTGGCCACAAAATTTCTTAGGGCCTAGAGGAGGCCACCCTGCCCCAGCCCACTCACTGCCCCAACCATTCCTCCCGTGTTCCCCCAGTGGGAGCCCTCCCAGACTCTCTTCTCAAAGGACCTAACTCTAGAAAAGACCAAAGGCCCACTGCTTGGCTTTTGTGGTCTGACTTCACTGAGGGCCCTGACACAGGGCTGAACTGCAGTTTGCAGAGCTGTGTACAATAACAGCCATTATAGTCATCTTGAATCTGTATCAATCATTCTTCCTAAAACAATTGGAAATACTTTCACAGTAAGAATATCAGATTTGCCATGTTACGAATCCTAAAAAGAGGAAAGAGGGCAGACCCCCTTCCCTTTACACTAAAGGGAAGCACAAGGCCCAGGGAGGTCAAAGGACTTGCTCACATTCACTGCACAGGAGTGCAACAGCTACTGAAGGCTCCCAACTTCCATCTGAACTCTGTTTCTCAGTCTATGTTGCTAAAATACCGGAAGACAAAAGTTGGACTGTTTCTCTTCATTTTCCTAATTTTTATGTGGACATTTTTGGCCTTGGGAAACCCTTCCCTTGATTGAGAATTGGGGATTCCCTCTCAGTCTCCACACTTCCCTCTCAAGACCAGAGCATGTAGCACCTCCGTCCTGCAAGAGCCCTCACTGCCCTTGTGCCCCGCTCTGGCTCAAAGCTCTATTGGGTGGAAGTCGCAACATAGGCCGTGGCAATGTACTTCTTGCCGTTTCCATAGGTAGTCTTGTCCCAGGTGTAGGTCTGGATGGACAAGGGATAGCCACCCAGGCTTAACTGGCACCTGCAGGGGAAAATCATGAAATCAGAGGGGGTACCACTCCCTTGGCTTCTGTCCCAACTCCAGAATGGCTTCATCCTCTAAAACAGCTGCCACCGATTCCTGTAGCCACTGTTCCATCTCCCCGGGTGCAGGAAGTCCTTCCAAAATCTAGACCTAATTTTCTATCTTTTTTAAAAAATATTTTCTGTCTCCTTAATGAACACCTCTTCTCATTTTTCTCAGAGTAATATTCTAACTTCTAAGATTCCAGAGCTGAAGTCCTCAGAAGTTAAATATTTGCTGAGTGTTTCTCAAACAGTAGGACTCAAAGTCTCCAAGAAACAGAGAATATGAGGGCCAGTTGTTACCACTCTCTAGGGTTCCAGGGTTCCCCCCAAAACCTCACAGACCAGAGAGGCTTAGAGCCCAAGGACAACTCCATTTCTAACTTTTTTCTACATAAGATTTAACTTGGGGGAAGGAATGGAGATGGTCCTGCTGCTAAGACAAATTCTGGCAGCTACTATAAACTAACTTCATTGTTAATGGATGAAACAGTGCCCAGCACAGTGACTCATGCAGCTGCTGAGTGGCAGGCTGCAGAGCTTCTGATACCCTCCTGGCTATGAGGACAGCCTGTGCCCTAGTCTTTGCCCGGGACTGGGGCTGGCCTGGTACTTACACTTTGCCGGGCCTAGCGATGAAGCATAGGGAGTAGAGAGCAAACTCAAACTCGGGGCTGCTGCCGATGAAGGCAGAGCCCACTTCCTTATAATAGCCGTCCCAGTTGAACTGCATTCCCAGCACGTCAGGATAGGACTCCCACTGCAAAGAGCAGGGAAGAACAGGTGTGGTGAAGGCCACAGAGTGGAGTCTGACAGGTGTCAAATATCGACAGTCAGCCAGTGTTTGTGAGGGAGCCTTCTAGGGAGACTGGCTTCTTCAGACAGTGGTTCCTGTGTCCCACGCAGACCCTCTGTCAGTACCAAGGAGGCCAGAGATGGCATCCATACAACCTGCCCCAGGGTAACAGGGACATGACTGTTCCCTGTGACCATCACATGTGGAAGGGGGCAATGTGTTTTTCTCAAATTATTTCCTGGTGCAGGACAGCAAAGGTTTCTGCCTTATTAAGTGTATATGGGGTATATATAGCTCAGACTAGCCAAGCTGAAACGTCCAGCCACATTCAAAGGGCACTCAGGCTGGGGGTGACTGCAGGTCTTTGGTTCTTCCCTCTAAGAATGCCACCCTGGCCTGGCCTCCCACCCAATATGGTGCCCTCTACCTCCTGTCCCCTGAAAGTCTAGAGCCTTTGCTGTCTGGAACAAAGTTGCACTTCTGGCTAACTAACACTGCTTTCTGGCAGACAGGACATTGTATTCATCACCCCCTCTGGGCTGCAAAGGAGAACTGGATGAGAAGCAAGTATGAGCATCTGAATGAGAGCGAGGGCAGGAAGTCTGGCACCACAAAGGCTTTTCCAGCGCGAGTACTCACAGGCCCATCGTAGACATGACTGTAGTAGTCAACCAGGCCCTCCTTCTCCTGCAGGTAGAAGCGGATCCAGTTATGGAAGCCGGTGACCTTGCCCTTTTTGACTTCACCTGTCGTAGAGAGTGCAAAGCAGGTGATCTGGTATTCCTTTCTTCCCTGCCCCACCGGTCCCCGTTCTTCTACCTTACACCAAGGCTGGTGCCTTTCTCCTGGCTCTGACTTCTAGAATGTGCCCTAGCTTAGCCCTTGCCTGACTCCCTAGAGTGTCTCACATCCCTCTCATCGCTTTTTCACATAAAGCCCTTCCTTGGGAGAATCCTTCCCCGCGGTTGATCCCAGGAGCACTCGGGGGTACTCCTCTTGGCTATTTCTACTGGAACAAGCCAGGTTTGGTGGGAGCTTTACAGTGGAGGGCAGTGAGGGGAAGACTATGATTTTCCTGTAAAGCCCCTGCAAGCAAAGGGATGCTCAGAGGCAGTCTTGCCCCGAACACTTGCAGGGTCTAAACGCACTCCCTGGGAAGCCATGGTATGTGGTCTTCTCTCCCTCTTAGATACTCTAGCAAGACTGTCATTCAGATTGGCCTCTCAGACCCCTCCCCTCTGGGCCTGGGAATGGATGTGTCCCTCCTTGCCTGCTGGAGTGGCTGCTGATTCACCAATGCCCAGGCAGTCCCACCCCCAGCAAAGGCATTCCTCTTTGTCCCTCTCAAGCTTCCTTTCCAAGCCAAAGGATCCTACCTGAGAAGACATGTTCAAAGCCACTCGAGTCCCCCTCTTCATTGCCTCTTGAATAGAGTCCAAACCACATGTTCTTCAAGTCATCAATGAACTCCTGCTCAGAGCTGTAGCGGTCTGCAGAGAGGAACACAGAGGACTTTGGAAAAGGGAATGGGGTCAGGTCCCAGGAAGCAAGGAGGAGCTGCCTGCTCCAGCATGTAAAGAGAAGACTGAGTTAATTAACACATATGTTCAACTGCTTATTCCAAAGCTGGAGACCAAGGCTTCAGCAGAGAAAAATAAGGATGGGTTATCTATCTTTACAGTTTACATTTCAGGAAAGAGACAATAAACAAGGAAGCATGCCAGGGGTGGTGGTGTACATGTGTAATCCCAGACTCAGGAGGCTGAGGCAGGAGGACCACTGTGGGTTTGAGATCAGCCTGGGTGATGTAGTGAGTTCCAGGACAGCCCGAACTACAGAGCAAGACCCGGTCTCAAACAACCCGAAGTAAACAGATAAATAAACAAATAAGGAAACACTAAGTGAATAATCTGATTTCAGATAAGTGCTAAAGAGACAATAAAGCAGAGCAGCCCATAATGACTGGTGGTGGAGATGGGGTTAAGGGACGCTGCGCTTTGAATGTGTCCCCCAGAAAGTTTATGTTAGAAACGTAATACCCAGGTGTTACAGGATTCAGAGGTGGGATCTTTCAGAGGTTATTAAGCCAGGAGGACTGCACCCTTATGATTGGGATAATGCCATTTTCATGAGCATGGTGGGATCCTTATTGAAAGCACGGTTTCCTTTAGAAGGATGAGTCTGGGCCCCCTCTGCCTCTCACCTCTTTGTGGCCCTTTTGCTTTCACCATGGGATGACACAGCAAGAAAGCCCTCACTGGACGCCAGTCCTCGTCTTGGACTTCCCAGTCTCCAGAACCAGGAGCCAATGAATTTATGTTCACTATAAATTACCCAGTGTGGTCATCTGTTATGTCAGCACACACAGAATCCTCACATAAGGTTGGCACTAATTATTCCCAATGGAGAGCTGACCAAATCGAAGCCAAGACTATGAAACTCACGTGAGATGACAGTTCCTAAGAGGGAGACACAGTGCTTGAGCTCTTACAGTCTCGCACCACAGACCAATCTTTTCACACTTTTTTGACAGTTTTTTTGGGCTAAGAGAGATCCCAAAGAGTTGGAAGCAAGGGAATTGTGGGAGCTTTGCTTTTTAAAGGATCATATGAAGAAGGTCAATGGGACACATGAAGAAGGGGCAGGGAGGCCGGTTCTGAGACCAAAGATGTGTCCAGGTGAGAAGCTGGTGGTGTCCTGCCGTACTGGAGCTGAGAAGCAGACAGGACTGATGGTAGTCATGGTCATTACTGATGGAGGAGGTGGGGGTAGGGAGCAGTAGGAAAAGAGAAGAAGCAAATCTAACTCTGCGTTTGGGGCTAACGAGCTTATGAGATGGGGAAGACCCAGGGAGGCTCTGGTCTGCCCTGAGAGGTAGGTTCTCTTCACACTGATTTTTGTGTAGATACTGATTTGATAGCCATGTGGAGATGTTTGTTTAATAGGACATTAGGATCAAGAGGAAAGACCAGGGCTAGAGATTTTGATCAGAGAGCCAACAAATACTATCCACTAGTCAGAGCTGTGTGTAGAGGATCCAAAACAGAACAGAAATGCAAAGCCTGATTAAAAAAATAGAGTGTGTTTAAAATTTTTTAAAGTACTATAATAAAAGATACATTGTCACTCATCTCCCTCCAAATACTCGCTCTTGCTTTGTACACACTGATCCCATTATTCTTGCCGTTTTCTGAAGCAGTCCTGGAAGTCCTCATTCATGACTGTCTCTAAGTAGTGTGATGATAAAAACAGGATGAATACTGCTGCCGGGTGTCATGCAACAGAAACGCAGGCTTGTCAAAACGTTAGGCCGCGTCTCCATTCACACCCACTGCATCTGCCGTACAACTTCTGGCTCTTCCCCAGGGCCAAAACGACCCTTGAAGGTAAACCTTCTGAATCAATTCAGGACATGGAGACAGCCACGGCAATGTAACTAAAGACACTCACAAAAGGAGACTTTCAGAATTGCTTCAGAAAGTGACAAGGATGATAAAAACCTACGTTCTAAGTGAGGAGGAGTATTTTAAGGGAGCTAACTAGTAATGTGTCTTTTATTGCAGTAATTTTTTAAAATTTAACCATTCACTATTTGTTACCATACCTCACACTCTCTCCTTTCAGGGGCTAAAAGATATTGTATATAACCACTCAGATAGATATACACATGGGGGAGACAATGGCCCAGGATTTCTCAACCCCACACAGGAAAGGACATTGTCATGTTCCTTCCAGAACTCTGTAAGGGTTAAATCTGTAACCGATATCATCTGGAAGCACAAGCAGCCAGCATTTGGGTCGTAACTCAAAACTTTGGTCATAAGTTCAAACTAAAATTCCAGTTATAACCCAAGTTGTTCGTATAACAGACTGGTCATAACGCGAGGGTCCACTGTATATGTATTTCACAAACTGAATAGCTACCTTACCAGCACTTACTGGGTGCAAGGTATCTGTTGGGTGCTTTGCAAATGTTAGAGTTTAGGTTTCCAGCACCCAAAATTTGGAGGACACACTGAATCCAAAGCACTAGTAATTAGCAGGACCAGGAGCCAAATTGAGTCTCTCCCCATGACTGAGACGCATCCCCTACTGGGAACTTCCCTTCTTGTCCACAGCCCTTCCAAGCCCTTCCACCTTTTCTTCATTCTTAAATGAGAATTTATACCACTCTGAATTAAGGCTGTAGTCTCAGAAATCAGACCCTCTGATTTCAAACACTGTCTTTCTGCCTACTGGCCCTCTAACTTCAGGCAGGTTATTTAAGCTCCTCATACCTCAATCTTCTCAACTGTAGGATGGGACTAACATATAACAGACCCCCACTCTTAGGGATTGTCAGCATTAAATGAAACCTCATAAAACACTTGGACCTTAGCAGTCTGTGGATGCTTTTGAACAGGGCCACTAGTGCCTCTCAACCTATTGTGTGAACAAGAAAAACATGCCTCTCCCTTGCTAATTTCTGCCCCATCCTCCCCACCACACAGTCTGATGCTACTTTTGAGTGTGCAAGGTGAATCCCACTCGTTCACGCTAAAGCTGCCAATGCTTATAATGTTGCCAGCTTGGTGAGTGATGCCACATCCCTCCGCTGCCTGCGTCTCATCTGCACAGCCTGCTGGTCATCTGAAGCCCTGTCATCCCCACTGTCCTTACTGTCTTGATAACTTTTCTGTTCCTTGTTCAACCTTGGCTTAAGCCAGACCTGGACTGGCTCTGTCTGGCTTCCTCCTCCACACTGTATTTCCCAGTCTCTGGTTCTCCACACCTTTCCCTAAACTAGTGTTTCTCCTGCTAGTCTCTGAGGTGCACAGCTGATTGTCATTTCTTAATCTGAAATCCTCCAAATCTTCCCACTGCATGGGGTAAAAAACGGGCACTGCAGCGCAGGTCATAAGGCCTATGGGCAGGACCCCCGGCCTCCCTCTGCTGCTCCAGAACTCACCCTCATCTCCCCTCCTCTCCACATAACAATGGACCCATATGGCAGACTTCAAGTGATGAATGAAGGTGTTAATAAGATAAAGTATGAAGAGCTAAAAATAAGTAATGCTAAAACTCAGGTAATGCAAAATTTACCAAGGGTCACAGCCAATTCACAAAGTACAGATTATTAGTACACAGAGAAATGTTGAACTCCATTAAGGATCAAAGAAATTAAAATCCAAAGACATTTTTACATACCAAATAACCAAATACTGGGGCCAGGGATTTAGCTTAGTGGTGCTGCCGCCTGCCTAGCAGGCCCAAGGTTCCAAGTTCAATTCCAGGTACAAAACAAAAAACAAAAAACAAACAAACAAACAAAAAAACACCTCAAATAAACAAAGATTTTTAAAAGTTAATGCACACTATTTACCAGAGCTTTGATACATTAGTATTCTCAGTTGGGGGAGGATAGACTGACCTGGATGGATCAGAAGAGAAATTTTCAAAGTAATGAAAACATTCGCTACCTGGAAAATGTTCTTGTTTTGCAACTATATCTCTATGTGCCTTCTTCTCTATATGATACTTTTTAAAAAATGCATTGAAAGATACTAAAATTGGTGCATCTTATCATGTGTAAACTCTAAATAAAGATGATTAAAACACTGCTTTAAAAAAAGTTATGGGTTATGGGCCATAGCCCAGCCTCTCATGCCTCAGAGGGATGCTGACAGCTGGTTTGAGATGAGATGGCTGCAGCCTTCTTAAATGTGGTGGGGCCTGAGCTGGAATTTAAAGGGTGAGTTGGACATGGACTGGAGATAGGGGAGGAGAGGGTGAGAAATGGGACGGCTTGGCCTTGGCACTGGAACCACAGCTCTATCTCAACCTTCCGGTCTACCAAACCTGGCTGGGCTCCCTACTCTCTCTGAAAGTCTGCTGTTGACTACAGAGCAAACACCAGGGGGCAGCGCACAATCGCATCTGCCTGACCCGAGCCTCTGTATCCCTGCCTGGCTCTACCTAAGAACAAAAACAGCCAGAGCTGGGGATTTAGCTCAGTGGTGCCGTCTGCCTTGCAAGTGCAAGCAAGGTCCATGAGTTCGATCCCCAGTACCAAAAAAACAAAAAACCAGCCTTACCAAATCTCTGCAGAAGCCAGCAAATAGGACACAGTAACACTGTGCCGAGGCAATCCTGCCGCCTGCTAGGGGCACCTGGGCAGAGCTTCCCCTGAGACAAGGTCCAACCGCTTGTACTTAGGGGAAGGAACCTGGAGGAAACCAACAAACACAACCCCGAGCCAAGATGGCCTGCAGTCAGGCTCTTTTTTGGTCTGACTTGCATGGATCTATATCTGGAGGTGTTCCCGCCAGAACCCTTCCTGGTAGGACTGTCCTCTTGGACCCTCTGGTGAAACGGTTTCAGTTGCTGTTCCCCAGCAAAAGTGTAGTGTTGCCAAGCCTTCCTGGGCTTGGTGCAGGAGGCAGGAGCAGAGTCAGGACCTCCACCTGCCTGACCCTGCGGTATGACTCTGGGGTTGGCTGAGGGGCAGAGATGTGTCCTGGGGTGGGAATGAGGATGGGAGTAGGGGAGGCCTGTGCCCTGTAGGGAACTCTGAGACTGAAGCAGAGGATGGGAGGATCCACAGAGCAGCTAATAGTCAAAAGATGGGATGACTCTGAAACCAGCCAGCCAGAAGATCCTCCAGCACCTGGTGTGGTCCTTAATCTCTCGGTGGCTTCAGGCCTATCTCTGATCTCTCCCAGACCTGTCTCTGTGAGGAGCTCACAGCTTCCTGGCCTGGGGAGCCCTTAGGGGACCTGGCTCTCCTGAAGACAGACCTGTAACTTTAGCACTGCCCCGCAAGGTCTGGCAACAGTCACTTACTCTGGTGATGCAGGAAGCCATAGAGTTCCTTCATGACTGCTGTCTTCATGATCTCTCTGAGGAAGACGTCCTGCTCAGCCAGCTGCTGAGCAGTGAAGTGCTCCCCGTGCCCTGTGGCCCGCTGGTAGTTGTTGAGCAGATTGATGAAGGCCACATAGGTGGGCTTGGAGAACAGCTTCTCATTGACATAGGTGAAGAGCCTGGGGCAAGAGAAGCAAGACCCACTGAGAGGCCTGAACATACAGCAGAAACCCTTCCAGAAACTTCCAGACAGGCCAAGTGCCACTCAGTTTGGCATCAGGAGTTCAGGGGCTTTGGGTGGCTTGGCATGAGGGCACTTTCCTTCTACCTTATCTCTTGGATGATCAGCCCTATCCTCAGCCTGACCAATCACAGAAAGCCTCCTACAGGGTGCCCACAGCCCCTCCAAGTGGCTTCCTTGTCTCTGGAGACCTATTTTTTCTTCTCCCTTTGATCCTTCCTGACATGATCCTGACGCATCACAAGAAGAAAGGCTGGGCAAGCAGGAAGGGGAGGAGGATACACACAAATTTGGGCAGCGGTCCACTTGGTCTCCTGTCTCTGATGGAGTGATGCAATTTTGCCGGTTGAGAATGATGTCCTCCTTCTGGGCTTTGTTGGTGTCCACGCTGTAGATCTTCTCAGAGATGCTCTGAAGCTCTTCTTTGGTTATGGCATCGCTGCTGTGGGAGAAGCCCCCTGGGAGGAATTGAAGTAAGGGTGGTCTCAGGGCCACAGGGAAGTCGAGGCATCCCCAGGGCACCTTGGAGAAGCCAACAGGAGGGAGGGGCTGCCATCAGACACCTAATGGAGGGATGGCAGGAGCCCTGAGGACCTTTAACATCAGTGTGTGTCCAAGTTCAGAGTATGCCCACACTGCCCCTTCCCTCTGGGAAGGTTCCCAGGCTGAGGCAGGGACCAGAATCACCTCAAGGGCTTGTTCAAATACAGCAGTGAGCCCAGCCCAGAGTTCCTGACTAGCAGGTCTGGGGTGAAGCCCTAGAGTCTGCACATCTTAGCGTCTCAGACCATGCCACCGTGGCTAGTCCGGGGACAACCACAGCTCTAGAGAGTTCTCGTGTCCCTGGGACCATGCAGAGGGCGCAGACTGACCGTGGTCGCCACACAGGCTCTCAAAATCCTCGCAGCAGTTCCCAAATTTTTGGCAGCGGTCATTGCAGTGGCAGGCGTGGTGCCTGTTGAAGGCTTCGCGGCAGCGGCCCTGGCAGGAGCTGGGAGCCGAGTACAAGTCTGAGGGGGCAGAGGGAGTGAGTTCCAGGCGGGCCGCTAGGGGGCGCGCCGCACACCCGCCCCTCCCGCGGCTCCGGAGCCTGGCTGTGCCAGATCTCGGAAAAGAACACAAACAAGCTGAGCTCTCGCAGACCCGGCACCGGCAGGAAGTCCTTGCAGATGCCTAACTTTTTTCTGGCCTGTTGTTTTAATAAGCTCTCCACTCTAAAAATAAGATCTCTTCCACTCCCCACCCCCCCAGGCCTCGGACCCTCTTCCCGGTCTTTCTTGTCTCCCCCCTCTGCCCAGGCGTCCAGCGAGTCATCTCATCTGGTTTAGGCGGGGCCAGAGCCCCCTCCCCTCGTCACCGCCCCCCCTCCATCCTGTGTCCCAAAGGCTCCCATCTGGGGAGCAGGCTCACTACTGTCCGGGGCCTCTTCCTTCACTTCCGGAAATGGCTCTGGCTCCGTGGGGTCCTCTTCAGCTGCCGTAGAAAAATAAAGCCACCAATTACCCCAAGGATTTCCCTCCCTCTCTCTTTCCTGGTCCTCAGGAAAAACACAAGCATCATAAGTTGATAATAAACAAGGCCTGGGATACAAGGGAAAGCCCCAGAACCTCCCAAATAGGGTGGAAACTGAAAATGGAAGGCATTTCCAGTGAAAGACTGATTACTGAACGCTGTTACTGAAAAACAAAAACAGTTTTTCCATGTGACAAATTTCCTACCCACCGTACCATTCTCAAGGGGGTGCTCTTCTGTTGGAGGAGGAGGAGGCAGGAGTGGTCCCTTCTCTACTGAAAGCTAGTTTGGGTTGTGACTTTTCTTTACCTAAAGTTGGCACAGGTACAGAGAGCCCTTACCTCAGAATACCCTGTTCCTGTAGTTTCCCCAGTTAGAATCGAGAGGATTCTCAGGCCTCAGAAATAAAAACTGTTTCCTGAGCTACCAACTGCACTGTTTTGTTTATTTTGTCCTGTTCCCACTTAGAAATGGCTACAGACTCTCTGGGGAGAACCTGTCAAGGTCTCTAAAGAAAGAGCACTCTTACAGAGTAATCCAGATGCACACTTAGTGATTCTGCTAGGTGGTATTATGTTTTTGCCATCAGAACCGCCAGTCAGGTTATACATTCAGTCCACAAACATGTTCTGATCACTTACTTTGTGCCTGGCTGTGTTCTAAGAGTTACCACAAGTTTCTTAATTGAGACACATTTTATGCTACATAGACTTTTGTGAGCTGTGCTGGTTACAGCCATCATTTACAAGACTTTTCTCAGATATTCAAAGAGGAAATGGCTCCTAAGCTGGGCACTGCCTCTCTCTTGGGATGCCAGTGTCGTGGCCTGAGGTGAGCAGGCCTTCCTGCATATGCTGAGCTGTAAGAAAAGACAGGGCATGGAGCAGGCAGAAAATGGTGGGTTCTGATTCTGGGCTTCCCTGCCTAAGCCTAACCCTCACGATGTCTCCTAACACGTATTATGCTCTCAGGTAGATTGAGAGGTTGTCTGTAAGCACAGGGCTGGGTCAGCTCATGCCACCTTTGGATAAATTAGGTAAAAGCATTCCTTTCTATCACCAGACAGAGATCTGCACCGGGTGCACAGATTGGTAAAGAGGCTCACTAGATGGTAGTGGTCCGCCTTACCCATTCAGCCAGGTGCCCTTGTGCAGTACGTAACCCATGCAACCATACAGGGTGGCTGGCCTTGCTGGCTATTACCTACCAAAGCTTCAGTCACTATATTTTCCAAACTAGGAGTTGGGGCACATGGCTTACTCAACACAGGGCCACCCAAACAGGAAAACTATTCAAAAATGATTTTTTAAAAATTATTCATGTAAAGATTGGCCTACCAGGGTGGCAGATGTGTCATTTTATTCGGTGGTCTGGAAGTGACAGTTTGGAGATGGGCTGCTCCACGCACTTGCTAGAGGAAGTGTGGTAGGCCTGGTGACAGTAACAGTGGCACCATGTGGTCTTCGTGGGGGCTTGTGAGGTGGGTGGTGAAAGCTCAGTGCTGTTTTCACATTTTGGGGACTTAAAGTGTTGGATAACAATTGATCACATCATACATGCGGAAATGTTATTTTTCCCTAGTTTGCTCTCTTTGTTTGGAACGAGACACTGAAACTTTGAAGCTGTTGTTAATCCCAGTAATGGAGACAGATTTACCAGGTAAAAGGCATCTCCATAGCTTAAGGTGGGGAATTCCTGGGAAACCTGAGACAAAGGGTAGCCAAATCCCTGACCCCACCACGTCTTCAGCCCCGAGAGCCTCACCTGCGCACAGGTGCTCATAGTCATCACAGCAGTCCCCATGCTCAGGACAGCGGTGATCACACTGGCAGACAGCGTCCCGGTCAAATTGCTCATGACAGCGAGATGCACACGATTCCAGGCTCCCTGCACGAGTAAAGGTTATAGGCTCAGCCTCTGGGGATCCTAGGACCCTCCTAACAGAGCCCCTGTGGGTGGGTTCACAGGCAGAAGCAGGGCCCCTAGCAGGGAAGGCCACTGCCCTCTACACGGGAGAAGCACGCCTGCGGTGCCTGTGCACAGGACGGGCCTCCTCCTCCACCCACCAGGTACCCCAAGGCTTGAGCACCCACTGGGGTCTCAGGCTCCAATGCTTGTTGGGTGAGGCCGGTGACATAAACGAGCGAAGAGGCAGGGTAGGAGGTGACAGGAAGAGGGGGGATCATGACAAACTCCAGAGCCACACTGTGCGAAATCTGCGGCCTCATCTCAGCTCCAGCCCATTGCCAGAGCCTCCAGCTTTTCAAGAGAGACCTTCATTTTTAGGTGCAATTTCTCCAGTTTTTAAAACTTCACGTGAGCCAAAGAAAGACATCCGTGGACTTGATGTGGTCTGCAGGCCGCTGTCCACCTGTCACGTGGGGAAGTCGCTGCTGGCCTGTGATGGTACCTGGGTCCCTGTGCCCTGTGCCCTGCTCACACTCTGTCCCCTTCATGCTCGTGTCTCCTTTGTTCACCTTCCTGCATCCTGTGTCCTCTGCACCCTGGGTCCCCCTGTGTCAGTCTTCAGAATGCATTCGCAGAGGTTTGTGCTCAGGGTGGGGAATGAGCCGGGTGTGGGTGAGAACTGCGATTTGGGATGGCATTCTGTTCCGTAACCACAGACCACATCCCTCACTCCAGCCAAATGGTTTGCAGAAGCTTTTGATCACAAGGGGCAAAAGGCAAGACATTTTGAAAGGAACACTACAAACTCACTACCATTCTGGGAAAAAAGACAGCCTCGCCATTCCCACCACAGCAAAGAACACACTGTGCAAGCCAGAAGCCCATTTCCTTCCACTCTGGGCTGCTCGGGCGATAGCAATGTCTTTGTTTCCATTTGAGGTTCCTGAGGTTTGGATGCTGAGGATGCTGGGTTTAGGGGTCAGGCTGAGGGTGGCACAGATGCCAAGATCAGAGGCAGACTTACTCTGAGCATCTGAATCCGATCAGTGAGAAAACAGAAACCTAACTTGGACCCAGTTACAGCTAGGCTTCAGCTGAAGACTACAGTTTGGGTTGGGGCTTCCACCTAACTTACTGATAAAATAATAATTTTGTCCCTTAATTCTTCGGTTAAGGGATAGGATTTGGTTGAGGTTGACGTACAGGATTCAAGGATGGACCAGGGTGAGAAAAGAAGTAACTCCAGCTTCGCCTTAGATTTGATTTTGGAGCTTGGTTCTAATTCTGATTCAACACAGGTGTGCAGTGTGGCTCTAGCAAAGGAGGAGTAGGTCAGAGTTGAGTATTAGGGGTAGGGGTTTAGCAACTGGTTTGGATTCCAGGATTTGGTCATTACGTTTCTGGGTGTCTAAGGAGGGAAGGCACAGCAGAGAGACTAAGAACCTGGACTCAGACACCAAAACTGCCTGCGGTTGAAATTCTGGTTCTGTTGCTTTCTAACTGTGTGATTTGGGACAAGGCATTGGGTCTTTGTTTCCTTATCCATAAAAGTAGGAAAGTATTGGGACTTATCTCATTGAATATTTATAAGAGTTATATGAGTTAATATTTGCATAGCATTCAGCACAATGTGTGACACATACGAAAGCCATGTAGGTATTTGTTAGGTAAATAAACAGCGGCAACCTTTCGTCCCCACATTCATGATGGCAAGTGTTTAGACCTTCTAGGACAATGTCCCTGTACAGGGACCCCACCCATGCTCTTAGCCCCAATGACTCCCTCCCCAGGCCATCCTGTGAGCCAGGTGATCATAAGCAGCTGAAGATATTCTGGCTGATATCACCACTACCAGTTGGCATTCTTTACATCAAAGAGCTGTCGAGGAAGGTTAACCCAGGCCATGAGGCAACTCCATGCAGGTGGGTGGTGCCCTCGAGGCATACAGAAAGACAGGATGCTGGTCCCGAGCCTCGCTTCTAAAAGAGACCAAGCCCAAGCCTTCTGGTCCCTTCAAGTCCTCAGGAACTTGCCTGGAATCTTAAGTGACGCTCTCTTGGCACCTGAACGCAGAGGTCTTCAGGAGAAATGTGCCAGCCAGCCTGGCAGTACACCCAGAATCCAAGGGAGAGAATGTGGATAATCAGGGCAGCATTTTTAATCGGCCAGATCAGCAGAGTCCCAGGGGAAGGTCCACTCCATTCTAGCCCTGGCCTCAGTTAGAAGGGCCACAGGGAAGAGTCAGCTGTGCAGCTCAGGAGGACCCATCCACACTGGCCCCAGCTGCATGGATACTGCCATCCCTGTTCAAGAACCCATGCAAGGGGGCCTCCATTTCTCTGTGACCTTGGTCTGCTTCAAAGTGACCTGCTGTGCTGTTCTGGGGACAGTCAAACGACAAGTCCCCCTGCTGCCAGCTCCAGCACCCCACCCGCACCTCCCAAAAACACAGAGGCTCTGAGTGAGCCTCGTTCACAGGCTGGGTGCCTGGGTCACTGGCCCAGAGGCCTTCCTCTGAGTCTCAAGCTCTCCCACCATTCCCTGTGAAAAGCTCTGGATCCTCTCTCCACCCATGGAGTGCTCAATTTCTCCCCGCCCTCTAAGACTTCAATGTGCTGGAACCCTACTGCCTGTCTGTACCAAACCCAGAGCTTGGTCCCAAGCCTGGGTGGAGTAGGGCCCTATATACCAGCCCTCAGCCCTGCTGTTGGTCTCACTGTCCTATATGTGCACCCTCAGGGGGCCCCCAGATGCTGTTTCTATGGAGACCTAGTAAACCAAAGCTTCGCTCATAGGAGCAGCTTCCTGCCTCTGTCCACTCTCCCAGGGTCTCCATAGTACCTGGCTCATAAAAAGTCAAGACTGGTGGCGACTGCCCCTATGTGACTCAGTCTAGCATCCAGGCCCTGAGGTGTTAGGATGGAGCATACGTGAACAGAGTCCTGTCTTCCTGCCTTTGGTGGCCTTACTTCCCTGCCTTCCCTTCTTATCCCTACCAGCTCTGGTCACCACCCTCACCTCAAAGCCAGGCACCACCTGCATGCACTCTGCAGCCACTGCTACTGTCCCTCAGAGAGGTCCTCCAGGGCCTGCAGCTCTCCAGAGTACTCTTTGCTCCAGTCCCGAGGCAGGACTATCCCAAGCCCACCGGCCACCCCTCCACACTAGGCCCCACATGCTCCTGTCCTCCATGCTGACCGACTGAGGTGTGCACACCCTCCCTCACTCCCACTTACTTTTTGCCAGCAGGACCCAGGCAGATGTACACGGTTCCATCCACTGTTGGGGGCCTGCAAACAACTGTTTCCTTCAAATTTGCCATTTAGGGATCCCACTAAGGGCTCCTTATCCACAGCCTGATTGGTAATGACACCAAGAATGAGTTCTTCCTGGGAATATTTATAACCATGATCCTAACTGAAGTTTCAGAGATCTAAGGTCTCATATCTACCCAGCGGTTCTCCTGCATTGTCTTAGTTGGTCTTCACAACAGTCCCATGCAGGGACAACCCAGGTGGGTGGGATGACACGAAGTTCAACTCTGTCTCTCTGGGCAGAGGAGGATGCTGCCCACACTCCTCAGCTCAGCCCCCTCCCTCGGCACCCCTCCCTGCCCTCTAACCACCAATTAACATATCAGCATCCATACCCTGCACAGTTACTAAACAGGAAAGGGTTCCTTTCCTCTACTGGTACCACCCCTGCACTGCTGGTGATTGTAAGCCAGGTCCACTCTCTGCTGTTTAGCTTCCCTGACACAGGGGACAGAGACCCATTCCTCTGACCGCTTGTATAGCCCCATGTGACCTACTTCCTGTTGAGGGGACCTCCTGGTTTCCTCCTGAGCTTAGGGCTTCTTTCTTTCTTAGGGCTTTACCCAGAGAAAAGTCATATCCTAGACAACCTCACCAGAGACCACACAGCAGAGGAGGGGATGACCAGAGGCAGCCACAGGCCACAGCCCACACAGACCCAGCTTTACATTATGCAGTGCTCCCCCCACACCTCATAAACTCTTGATGAGATCAAAAGTCTGGTTAGGCTAGTGATGTTGGGACTAGTGATGCTGGGAGGTGTCAAAAAGGAGCTTCCATGAAATAAGTCCTTCAGCCCTGTACCTCCTTCCTCACAGTGCAGCCTCCCTGAGGTCAGCCCCTGTATCCCAAGAGGACAGGAGAAAAGCACTCCATGAATTTAAGAACAAGCTCACCCTTCCTTGCCCCACTGTGCCCATCTTCTGCCTGCTTCCCCAGCCCTGTTCTTTGGGCAAGAACCCTACCCACCCCATTTCTGTGCCCACCAGACACTTACCAGCCCAGGCCAGGCTGCAGAACAAGGCCGCTGTCAGGGGGACCCAGGCCCTCATGGCACCCAGTTGGAGGCCAAAAGGGGACTTGCTGTTGGACTTTCACTAGAGTCAAGGTGAATGTCACGGCTCTCAAATGAGCCTTATTCCCTATGCTGATCCTTTTAAAGACACCAGGACCTTCGGATCTGGTGAGTCCAGATCCTTCCAGGAGGAAAAAGGGAGGGAGGGACTTCAGAGGGATAAGAGGTGGGGCCCTACAGTTGTCTGAAGCCAGAGGAAAGATGACTAAGTAGGCAGGTAATGCCAGATGTTTGAAACAGGTAATGCTGGCCGTTTATAGCTAGAAAATAGGCCATACATGCAAGCACAGCAAGATGGACCTAGTCTGGCAAGTTCTTTATCCAATTAGGGACATCCATAGGATTATTTTGGGTGATTCCCTTCAAACACCCACTTATCTGTATTCACAGACAAGATCTGCCAAGGAGCTACAAGTACAGACTCAGATTCATTGGGATTAAAGGGGCCCCAGTGGCTCTGCTTCTCCTACATTGTCATTACCCCTTCAAAATCCCAAGTGGTCACCCTTCCCCCTGTGAGTGTGTCTGGTGCTGGAGGACAGTTGTCACAGATCTGATCCCCAACTCCTGGGACTTTACACTCAAGAGATACTGACTTAGGCAAAACTGACGGTAAGAGAAAAAGTCCGCCACGTCAACAAGGGAACATACATCAATACCTTCATGCAGAGATGACTCACAGGTAAACGGAGATGTCCATATGTATTTATCTGTGTGTGCATGCATGTGCTGACAAATAAATCAGAATGCATTTGAAATAGCTTTCTCTGCCCCGAGGTCAGTCCGGACAGAGAACGCTGCTGCTACTCTAAATTCTCCTCCAGTTGGCAGCTTACAGGTGTTTTCCACCTGCTCAAGCTCTTTCCAAGGAGCCACAGTAAGGACCACCCAGCCAGGGGGAATCACAATAGGCCAGGTCCTGGTGACCTGGGGTTGGGAGAGGTGGGGGGGGCATGGCAGATAGTAGAGGATGAGAATACCAGCAGAGATGATGTGGTTGTAGCTTCCATGGTCAGGGGAGGTTGGAAGGTAGGGAAAAGGGTGTCGATGCTCAGCCAAGATTGTGGGAGGCAGTCAGCTGTCAGAGATGTAGGGAATAGGAATTCCGTCCGCAATTATTTTTTATGCACTTATTATATACTGGGTGCTACACTATAATTGGACTGGCAGGTTTGGGCCAGACTGGAAAATTCTTCTTGGAACTTACTAGTTTTGGGGGGTAGGGGTACAGAGAACAGCTAACTTTGGCATTAGACAGATGTTTGAAGTAGGCAACACTCACCACTGGCTACTACTGTTGGTCAGGGGTGTGTTAGGATCGAAAGGCGGAGGGAGAGACTGGCTCAGGAGATACTGAAAGAGGTGTCCTCCTCTTGTCCTCCTGGGAAACCAAGGCCAAGACTAGAGACTTGAAGGAGCCCACAGCTGGCTCAGCATAGGTAAGGTCTGGATTCACCTCCCCAGGTCGTCCTGCCAGCTGAAGACTGTGGATCTCCATCCTCCAACCTGCTGTGGCCTAAGAGGGCTGGCCTGGCCTGGGCCCTGGAGAGAGGCCTGGGATGGTGGCTCACATTCAATCTCACTGAACGTGTCTTAGAAATGGCCTCATGTGTGATTTCTTTCGCCACATCGGGTTGTACGCTGCATACCACAGTTGTGTCTCCGGGCTTCCGTTTTCAAATCTGTGGGCAGCCCTGATTCAGCATCACACTCACTGCCCCGCCTGCCGCGGCACATTAGTCAGACCTGCCAGCTGGGACCATCCACCACAGAGACTCCCAGGCTGTGCATCTGGTTCTGCCGGCCCTGCCGCGGGCTGCTCCTCTGCCTGGAATGCCCTCTGCCTGCCCTCCCTGCTTGCCGGATGTCCATCTGCTACTCATCCACAGCCCACAGGAGCCCTGCTGCCTCTGGTATTTGTCCCATGTGACTCTGACACATCACAGCCACCTCTGGTGGATCTGTTGCTACCAACATAACGTCGGTTAACACCTGGATTAGTGCTTTACTTTTCATGTTCACCAGCTGTGTCTTTAGCTCACCTCTGAAATTCCTTGAGACAGTGATCCTGCCTCCTGGTCCCTCCACTGCTTGGTTTTGTCCTCCAGTGTTAGGCAGCTGTCCACATGTGCCTGGGAACAGCAAGGAATCAACACATGAAAGAATGAGGGGACTGGGTGTCCTTCTAGCCCGATTGTTACTAGAGAACAAGTGCATGATTCGCAAAATAGAGGTGAGGAGGTGACTTCCTGTCAGCTGTGAAACCTGCAGTGTTGGTACCAGGGAGCTGACAGGCCCAGGGTGGAAGTAAAGTCTAGGGATTCATCTTTTTTCTTTTCTTTTTTTTCTTTGTTTTAAACAGAGTCTCACTATGCAGACCAGGCTGAAATTGAACTTCTAGGGATCCTCCTGCCTCAGCCTCCCAAATGCTGGGATATAGGCATGCACCACCACCCCCGGCTAGGGATTCATCTTGAACTTGCATTTTCATAGTAAACACACTAATTTTAGCTATATTATATGTGCATTTGGGGCCAGTGGAAATATGATGGGGACTTAACCTCTCAAGCCACCTGCATGTTTTAATGCGGTTTGCTCCCAAGGGTCCATGAGTTGGAGGCTCGGTCCTCAGTGTGGCAGGGCAAAGGAGGAGGAGCCTGTGGGCAGGTGACTGTGACTCTGCCCTCAGATGGGATGAAGAGAGCTCTCATGAGACCCCTTGATTAGTTCTCATGAGAATGCTGTTATAAAAGAAAAAAGCTGGGCCCCTCCTCCCTAGTCTGGCTTCCTTTCTGCGATGTGATCTTTCATTTCCATCTTGCTCCAGCTTAGGCTCTCACTAGAGCCAGAACCAAAGGGCCCAATTGATCTTGGACTTTTAACCTCCACAGTTACAAGAAAAATAAATCTCTTTTCCTTATAAAGTTACCCAGCTTCCAGTATTTTGTTATAGTGACATGTAACAGACTAATATACTTTGGCACCACCACTGCAAGAAGCAGCCACCTTGGGATCATACAGAACCTAGGATTCAAACCGCTTCAGAATCCACAGAGTAACAAACAGATGACCTAACTCTATCCAGTTTTTTAAGGATCACAGAGTAACTTGCTATCTATACTTTATGCCAGCTGTGTTAATGTTTATTCTATACTGCCCCAAAGTGATGGAGATAAAGTAAAATTACTACTGTAGATCCTCAAGCTCCACCTACTGTGAGGAGCATCTGGAAGTGTGTGACGAACAAAGAGAAGTGGATGGGACAGACAGTGATAAGGAGTCTCGGAGAGACAGCAAGGAGTGAGCAAAGGCGAGATGAAGGGGAGAAGCCACACCCAAGGCTGACCAGGAGCCGGGCACTGGCAGTAGGCACCACACCTGCACCTCGCCCCAGGTGGGTTGGCACAGTGGGGCTGTTCTGCTTCACAAAGACAATGATTATCCACCCATCCATCCATCCACCCATTCATTCTGCATTCAGAGGGGAAGAAGTGAGCTAAAGTGCATTTAAAGCTATGATGGGGGCCACAGGACGCAGCGCTGACCCCACTGATTCTGAAGTCACACTGCCAGGGCCAGACCTCACTCTGCGAGTCACTGCCTGGACAACCCTGAGCAACTATCCTCTGTACCTCAGTTTCCCCTAGAGATGTAACAGAGCAAGTAGGAGCACCTGACAGTACTGTTGTGGGGGCTAAACTAATACTTCCAAGCTTTGGAATAGCACACAATGAGAATCAGATAAGTGTTTTAAAAACATACAGCCATAAAGGGCCTCATTTAGATAGTATGGTTAGAGAAGACCTCCCTAAAATAACACATTTAAAACTGACACATGAAGCATGAGAAAATGGCAGTATCTTGAAACTCTTCATAATGTAATACTTCTCCTATAGTTTCAAAAGTAAATGTAAATTGTTTTAAATGCGCACTCTCAGAGACTTCAAGTCTTAGGGATGATGGCCCTTCAGTGAGTCCTGTTGCCTAACTCACTTGGTTTGGTGCCAGAGGTAACCTGATTCTGGGGTGTGGCTTGTGGCCTTGCTGGGTGGGGACAGGGTCCTTAAGAACTTCAATAGGAACAAAGCCCTGGCTCCAGCCCCCAGCCCAGCCCAAGCTGGGGCTCTGACCAAGCTGCAACTGCCCTATGGAAAGCCAAGAACCAAGAGATGAAACAGACATGGAGAACGAGACGCTCCTCCTCCGGGTGCCCACATATGCGGCTCTCCCTCCAGGACAGAGGATTCCTGCAGGGCTCAGCCCCAGCAAAGCTGAGGGGGTACAACTGCATCCCACCCTAGGGTGCTCTGTGATCCCCTCCACAGAGACAATGAGAACTCCAGGAGGAGAAGGCAAGCGGTTGTGCATCCCAGCAGGCCGTGGAGGGGGATACCTAGGAGAACTGCAACATCCCTTGCAATACAACTGCTTCAGCTAACTGCTCAATACACCTGCAACAGCCCTCCGGGGACAGCCCTGGCTAGAGGTCACCCCAAGAAGATACTTGGAGGATCTGCACTGCCTCACCTTGTGACTCCTCAAGCTGGACTCTACAGGCTGGAAACCATCCCCCGAACACTTCCGGTTCAAATCCTTTTTATCATGGAGGAAACTGAGGCCCAAGCTCCTCCCACCCACACACTGCCTACCTGTGCTGCCTCAAGCTCTGGCTGATGAGGCACTTTTCTGGGAGACCACCTAAGTTTAGAGTTTTCTGCTGTCATAATCCAGCAGAAAGTTCACTGTCTCTATGGCTAAAGACCCCCAAATGCCAGGAAAGCCTCAACTGCCTTGCAGTCAGCAACCTAGAAACAGTTCCAGCTGCCCACAAGCCATCACCCCACCCGAGAAAGCCAGGACCCTGAGCACTCTCCAGGAGCCAAGAGGAAGGCAGGATTGTCAGGGCAAGGCCCTTATCGCCCCACTCCACATTGCCCAGGTCTACACACACACGAGAAACCTGAATCCCACACCTTCCATTATACTGAGTTCATCTGCTTCTGGGAGCCAGTAGGCTCCTTCCTTAGTGATCCACCTACTACTCCTAGCAGCTCTTCCGATCCCATCACGGGCACCTGCTCCAGGAAGGACCCCAGGCCTGGGAAACAAGATAAGCATCTGAGTCAGACCTGGTTTCTCTGAGTAAGTTCTGTCATCATTAGGGAAGGGACTGCTAGCAGCCATCTGTCCCACAGGAAGTAGGCCATTTCACCCTGGGCTTCAGAAGGGTGGCAGTTCAGGTCTCCAAGAGTCAGGGATCTGGAGGAGGAAGCTTGAATTGTCTGGGGGCAACTGGATGGGCCTGCAGGACATTTAGTTCAGACAATGGCCCAAATCATTGTGTGGGAGGCAGGTATAAGGATACATCTTTAAAAACCCCTAAAGATCCATGGAACGAGGAAAGAAGCACTAACAACTGCCAGGTCTGCATTTGCTCCAACCACCAGCACTGTGCCCATGTGATGCTCAGGGCACAAATGCCCATGCGGAGCTGGGGGCGCTCCCAGCAAGGAAGGCAGAGCTGGGAAAATGGGTGCAGGGCTGGGAAGGGAGTGGATGGCTGGGGTTACGAACCCACACTCCAACTCAGCAGTGGCTCTGGACCACAGTGCTTGTGGGTGGGTGGTGAGACACAGGAACCCCCGGCTTCTACCACCCACTGAACTTGACCCTGAAAGATCTGCTTCTGAAGGACTTGTCTGCCCAGCTGGGTGGACAGCTCCATGAAGGCCAAAACTGCCAGTCTTATTCATTGATCCAACCAGGCCCATTGTAAATGCTTGAAAATGGAGAGGGAGAAAGTAGTTTCCGTGCTTGGATCTATTCCTATGAGAGGAGAAAATGGGGTTCAGGGAGATGACCCTGGGAGCACCGGGGACACGAAGTAAGGACATAACTGATATACACCAGTTATTTATCTCATCCAGCCATCCTATTATTAAGCAGTTATGTTATTACAGACAGCTAAGTTAGTTAGGTAGAAATATTATGGGCAGTCAGACAGGCTGGGCCCTCAAGGGAGTGATGAAAATACCTTACAACTGTGTCTGGAGGCGCATCCATTGAAGGCCAGGCCTCAAGATAAAGATGGAATGACCAGGCCTGAATGCCTTCCCAAGGGATAAGCAAATAAAGTTTAGAGAGACATCAGTCACTCAAGGTGGGTGACAAGGACCTCTTGATCCATCCCTTCCTAAAAAGGTCTTTGTTCTTTCTACGTATCCTTGGTATGTGACTTTCATCCCCACTGGACCATTATTACCTAAACAGCTATACTTATAATCTTATTGGTTGATCATAGTTTTGACCCATGTTGTGCCCACCTCATGATTTTGCTCTACAAAACTTCCTTTGTGAAGTGGGGTTCATGGCAACCCTCTTTCAGGTCCCCTCCTGTCTCTCAGGAGCTATCTCTCTCAATAAAGTTTTGTTATTTTTTTGTTTTTTGGTACTGAGCATAAAACTTGGAACCTTGCACTTACGAGGCAGGTGGTGGAACCACGGAGCTAAATTCCCAGCCTTTAATAAAGTATCCTTACTCTTAACCTCCACTATTCCTTAGAATTCGTGCTTTGATTTTGGGGAACAAGAACTCAGCATAACTGACATCTAGCAAGTTGGGAGCTATACTTATTGCCCCTGTATCAATGTGACCTTAGGCAAATCTTTCTGTGCCTCAGTTTCTTTGGCTGTGAAACAGGTAAAAATACCTGTAGTAGCCATCTATCATTGGGGTAAAAACTACATCATAGATGTGAAAGTGTGAAGTGCAAGGACAAAACACTGATCAAATCTCAATCTGCTGCTATCACAAATCCTGTGAATAACAGCAGTATTGAAATACAAATCTTTACTGCATGGGAAAGAGTGGCCAGAAGCTGGGTGTCACTGGGGACACAGAGCCTCCAGGCCTGTGGGAACAGATCCATCCCTCATCCCGCTCTAAGCCAGAAGTGAAAAGGAAGATGCAGGCCATGGGCTCCACATCCATGTGATGTGGTCTGGAGCAAAAAGGGCTGGTTCCAGGGCGAGAATACCTGAACCACTCCACCTTTTCCCCAGGTCTTGCCTGGTAGAATCTGACCCTGGTCACCTGCAGCTCTCACAGGAAATCTCAGGGTGAGAGGGGTGTGGGTATGTGTGTGTACAGATACAAGGAGGACTCCTACCGTCCTGTCCTTCCTCATAGGACAAACACCAACACACATACACACTCTGCTTTTCCTTAAGTAAATTTTTTTGAAAGCGCAGATCTAACTATACTACTCCCTCTCTCTCAACAGGCCCATAAATCCCTCTACCCACCATGCCATCCTGAAGCTGGGATAGGACTGGGAACCCCTCCCTGAGCTGCAAAGGGGCAGGAGGGGATGTTTTCCCACTCTCACCCTATGCCTGGCGTCATGAGGCCATCACCATGTGGCGCTTTGCCCTCCTCCTTGTCCACCTGCTTCCAATCCTCTTCCTGACTTCCCAGGGTACTGTTCTCCCAACAGGCTCAGGTGTTCTACCTGGGGGGCCTGACGCGGCAGAAGATGAGGGTCACCCAAGGTAGAAAACCCACGTGTAGCAGAGAAGTTCCACTGAAATGTGGGCGTGAACTGGTGTCTCCCGAGCTGGTGAAGGACAACTGTGAGTTGCTGATTGGTGTAGGTTTGGCCAAAACATAATGCAGTTAACAGAGAAGAAAGCCCCTGTGACTCCTGACTCACCAAGGCGTGGTCACAACTGCTCATCTCAATAAGCCTCCTGCCCATGCCCCAAGAATCTCCATCCCCACCCAGAGGCAAGAGAACGGGTTTGGTGATCCCTGCTCTTATGGTTTGGATCTAAAGTGTCCTTGATCTACCCCCTCCCCCAAGTCTCCTGTGTTTGGAAGGGACTGGATTCTGGGGCACTATATTTGCCAGTGGATTAGACTGCTGAGGAGTTCACAGCTCACTTGCTGTCAGCAGGTGGGGACTGGTGAGAGGCGGCAGGTCACTGGGGGCATGGCCTGGAAGAGTGCCCTCTTGTCCCTGGCTTCTCCCCACCCTTTCTCCCTTTCTCTCTCCCTCTTGGCAGCCACGACAACATGAGCAGCTTCCCCCTGACAGTCCTTTCCACTGTGCCATTTCTGCTTTGGACCCTTCTGACCATGGACTGAACCCTCCGAAACTGCAACTCAAAATAAACTTTTCTTCTTTTAAATTGCAGGTGTGGGGTATGTCATCAACCTGTCAGTGACAGGAAGGTAACTAGTACTCCTGCCATGGGCTCCACCTCAGTGCCTACCTCAGGTACAGGACTGCTTGTGTTGGTCATCTCTGCTGCAGAGGCAGGAACTGCAGTTTCGTCACTAACAGCAGGATGGCAATCCTTACACGTCTTACAGATGGAGACGTGAACTGACTTGATCAGGCTCAGAAGAAACCTGAGGTATAGTCCCAGCTGTGCTGACTCCTTGCCAATGACTGACGCTCTGCTGACAAGTGTGCCCATGACCTCAGGCTGAATCTGGTGACATCTGGGTCAGGGCGAGCCCAGTTGCTTCATCTGCCAAGCAAGGACCACACCAGCTGCCCCCACTGCTGCAGGCATGGCACTCCTTCTTTCAGCCACCCCAGGGCCCTGCTTGCTTCAGAGCCCACTCGGGCTCATCCTGGACACGGTGAGAGCTCCCTCAGGACAGTGTACCTGCTGCTGCCAGGGTCCAGGGCAAGGAGAACAGAGAGGGTGCAGGCCCTCCCTGGACCTTCTGGGTTCCCGGGGTTGGCTGCAGGGGCAGGGAAGGGAGGTCCTAACAGAACAGAGCGTGCTGAAAGCTTAGTCCTGATCCGGATGACGCCATCCTCAGGTGCCTCCACCTCAGCACCTTCTCCATTCTTTTCAAGCCCCCTCGGAGGCCTCCAATCAGAGCAAACACCGGGAACAGGGACTGAAGTTAGGGGGAAGGGAGAAGATGCTAGTTGGATCTCGACTGTAATGGTTTCCACCGTGGAGAGCTGGTGGTTTCCGTTTCTCCGGGTGCCTGGGGTCGCGGGCCGCAGGCGCCCATCTGGGTAGCAGTCAGCCATCGTGAAGCTGGAGCCTTGCGTTGGTTCCCTGCCCCCCCAGCACCCCCTTCTCTGCCACGCCCCCGCAGGCTGGCCGCAGAACACATGTATCTTTGTTAACTTGTGGAAACAATAAAGCTCCTCTGGGACCACCACTCCCAGCCAATAGTTCTGATTCATGCTACAACATGGATTAACTTCAAAGATATATTAAGTTAAAGAAACCAGACACAAAAGTTCACATACTGTATAATTCCATTTATATAAACTCCGCCTCAGCCCCTGCCCCCCCCTCCCCGCCCCAAGCTGCACATCAGCAGTCTCTCTCCACTGCGAAAACAAACGCGGGCCAGGGCCTGGCAAGGGCTGCACAACAGAACCACGAGGCCGAGACGCTGGAAAAAGCCTGGTGAGGAGAGCTCTCTATTGAACACAGAGTCCAGCGCCTGCCCGGCTCTCCCACCCACTCCCACGGCCCAGCTGTCCCCCATTCCTTGGCGGTGGGCCCCAGCGAAGTTCCATTCTGGCAGGGTCTTCCTCAGCCGCCAGTCATCACAGGGGACAGCTATCATCATGCTGCCCGCTCCAGGGCCTCAAGTCCACTCGCGGAGAGCCCTGCCCAGCTGCGGCCAGCCGTGGCCCCTTGGCCCGGGCCTGCCCTGCTTTTGGGAAGCGCCTGCTGCGGCCCCAACCCCTCCTCAGGGCTCCAGTTCCCGGGACAGGCGGGAGAGTTCCCTCTGGTTGTCGATGACCTTCAGCTGCTGGACGTAAGCCCAGGTGCTGGCTGGACTCCGGGTGCTCAGGGACTGCTCCGAGCCTGGGGGAGGGCGAGCCGTCAGGGAGGCACCAGTGCCACTGCACAGAGCCCCGCCCTTCCTCTCCAAGGAGTTGTGGGGCGTTTTCTGCCTCCACCTCCACAGCCAGTGGCTGCCACTAGGCCCTGTGTCAATAGGCACAGCCCAATGGACTCGGGGGACAGAATATAACACTACATTTAAGAGTCTGAAGTAAAGCAGGTCCCAGGATCTTGTACTGCAAAATACCCCTTCTATTAAGTTCAAATATAACTAAAATTTAAAAATATTTTCTTACAGTATATATACTACAGATGAAGAACGGCAAAGGGATATATGTGTAAGGTAAGGCTATTTTAAAAAAAACTAGTGAATAGCTCAGGATATCGTGAGTGAGATATAGATGAAAACTGTGGACAGCAGTAACAGCGGGCAGGGAAAAGGTGGGCCAACAGTGGAGGTGTAAGTTATTACCAATGTTCTCGTACTTGGGTTGGGCCCAGAGGTATCCATTTTTGGAAAAAATGTATGCCTTAAAATAAAAAGGGTCCATCATGGACTTCATGAACCACGGATTATGATTAATTCCACTGCATACAACAAAGGTCCAACAAAGAGAGGCAGTTAGAGTAAGGATGCTTGGGTTTGGCTGTATCACTGCCTGTGTGCTTCAGGACAGCACTCCTCTCTCTCTCTCTCTCTCTCTCTCTCTCTCTCTCTTTTAAGCACTGGGTTTAC